ACACAAGAATGAGGAGGGTTGGAGAGTACAGGACCAGCACCCCCATGCTGCCGCTCGTGAGCCGTTTCCCAGTGGCGCTAAGTCTGAATGCATCTCGTCTTATTCTTTATTTGTGTTTCCCAGATGGACAAGAAAGCACACAGAGAAGGCGACAGTGCTATTTCCTTTTCTCTTCAGGCAAGTTTCTGAATTCTCCTAGAATTTATTTTCTGCTCTGGAAATCTTCTGAAGGCAGTGAGGCTGGAGACTCCAGTCTGTCTCACTTCCACACGGTGGCCACTGCGGACAGTGTCAAATGCAGTGGAGACCGAGTTGCCTTCCAGTTCGCTTCTCTCTCCTTACTTAACTGCTGGATCTAGAGTTACCTTTCCTTCATCCCCTCCCTTCCCCAAAGACATATTTGGTTACACTACAATAATTTCCAGAAAGGGAAACTTTAAACGTAGTTTCTAGGCACACGCTACATCTTACAGAACATATTTACGCTCAGAGTAGTTCTTCATCCAACCCGTCCTTTTTATCTAGACTGCGCTAACTTTGGCTGGGCAATCATCTGCACATGTCATGCCCAAAGGGCTAATTTGGAGCCAGAATAAGACAGCAGGAGGATGGAACGGGAGGTGCTGTTGGGCTCCACACATGCCCACTGCCCCCTCAGGAACTGAGGAGGAACAGTTGTCTTCACTAGTCTTACCCCACACCTTCCATGTGGCTTCAGCTGAGCAGTTCTTGTTTGCTCCTCTTTCCTCTGCCATGAGTCAGACTCAGGGGTGGACACATCCTGCCTCCTCTGTACATGAGCTCTGGTAAGATGAACACCTTGGCATCGCTTGCAGCAACAGATCCTCATGTGATTAAGAATGTTCTTTGTCTGCAACGTGATTTTTAGGACTTCAGGACCTTCTCCTCATTGTACTCATTGTCCATTTTTTATAAAACAGTCTCTTGGTTTCTGTGCCTTCTTCGGGAGTGACGAGTGTCATTGCTTCAGGCTGTACTTTAAAATATGATCTCACAGTTTGGACAAGGCCTTTTTTTCTCTTCTTCTTATTTCTACATTAGTACGTTTTGGAGAAGAAGAATTAGACCTTGAGAAGGAGGAGGCTTCTACTCCCTATTACCTTAGAGAAAGCTGTCATAGAGCAGAGGAACGACAACTTGTCATCCACAGAGTTAAACAGGGGTGGCCACTGCATCTCACAAAGTGCCAGTGATTTTTGTGGGTCTCCAAACCAGATTGAGCTTCAGGAATATTTGTTCAATGCTGTGTTGGATGCATCACCTGAACATCAAGGGCCAAAGTCATGGAAACCAAATAGATCTTTTTAGAAAGCCCTAGATGCTAGGGATTTCCCAGACAAGCTTGCAGCTCTACCTGAATGTTGAGCAACTCTAGCCTTCCTGGCTCAGACCTCCCCTAATGGTGACCACTATCCAGTCATTAGCCTTTTTCCCCTGGAAGGAGCCACACTTCCGTTGTCTTCTAGTTAAGCCATCTTTCGTTGGCAGGACCCTGTGCTCTAGGGGTTTATTGAATGAGTCGGAAGTAAAGCTGGACCTAATAGAACCCCAAAGCATCGTAATCCCAATCAGTCATGATTCTTTACCCCCAAACAGAGAGCATGGATGTACCCCAAAGAGCACAGACCATCCAAACGGGACCTGACAGGAACCATGTGGCAGCCGAAGAGGAACCTTATTCCAATCGTTTAAATAGTTGCCCATCTGTCTGTGGTCCTTATATGGAATCAAAATGTTGTGGAGTCTCCTCTGAGGAAACTAGGCTCTAGAATGTCTACCTTGATTAACTCTCACCACAGAGCTGAGGGGACAGATGGGAGCCACCCACCTGTTCCCCACCCTGTCTTACTGTTGTTGGAGGAACATCTCAGGAAGCGAGGTTCCAGAAAGCAGGCTCCAGGTGTGGTGGCCAGCTTGTCAGTTCTTGTGATACCCCGGAGAGACGCAGGCAGCGAGCGCCATTGCTTGTCTGTAGACAGAAAACTGAGGTATAGCGCGGATAAGACGCAATGATGGCTCTGCCACTGACTGGCAGAAACAGGAAGAAAATCCTGATTGCTCGGCGCCTGTGTCTGTTTCTTCCAGCATAGACTCCGTTTTGTCGGAAAGGCCCAAAGAGAAGCAGCGGCTTATATGGAGGCCCCCGACAGGTGTGGGCAGTGAAGCGAGACACTACTTCATCTGAGGGAATACCTCACTTACGCTGACATCCAGCCAAGACAAGGAGGCCAGCAACCTTCCCTCACAGTTCCGCAGCTGGTTCCGAACAGCACTGGCAATGTCACCTTAAAACAGGATTTAGTTCTCATTTTCTTCTTTTTAAAATTTGGTCTTAATTGAGGTACTGGGGATTGAACTCAGGGCCTTACACTCGCCAGGCAAGCACTCTACCACTGAACCACACTCCTCTTGTGTCCTAATTGAGATGCCCTCCACCCCGATATTGATCAGAAAGAAGATTCTTCTTAAACCGTAAGCACAACTGTAGGGGTGATAGGACAGCCATGGGGGTCAAGAACACCCTGGGCTCTCAGGCTTGGGAATTTTGCTATTGTTCTCACTGCATACGACTAGGTCTGTGCTGGGCTGTTATTACCTGGCAGGAGTAAGATTCCAGCAGTAGCTGGAAAGTCACATGTTGGGAAGGTAAACACGGCCTTCCATTCAACTGTTCCTTGCCCGATACAGTCTTCCGTTGACAGTTTGTTACTTTGGTTTTCTAGATAGATATATAGGTATATAGTTAGCCTTTCTCTTTTAAATGCAGATTTCTTAGGCATAATTATATATATATGAGTTTATTTTCAAAACTGCTTTGGCTTAGAATGTGGCGCCAGGCAATTAGAACATTAACTTTCATAGGGAGGGATAGTTTTCGGAGGCTTATCCAGAATAAATATGTTAAAATGAGGGTGGTATCCAGAGGGCCGAGAAAGGACTTTCCACTTTGAGATGGTGTTGCCAGGGAGTAGGACTGCATGAAGGGCAGTTTTTCTGGGCACCTTGATGTCCTGTCCAAGTCTCCACCCTGTTAACTTAGCTCCTCTACTTCCTACCCATCTCTGGCACGCAGTTCCTGAGGCATGGTGTTCTGGCATATTCGGTGCTCTTGACATTATGATTCTGTTGTCTACAAAGTTCACAGTGGGCAATCATGGATTTGAAGCACAAAGAAGTTGCAAGAATCTTACACTGTTCTAAGTAAGCATGGTACACAGCTTCGAGTCAACACGAGCTAGAGCCATTTGAGAGGTGGGGACCTTAGTTAAGAAAAACATCTCCAAAAGATTGGTCTGCAGGCAAGCCTGTAGGGCATTTTCTTAATTAGCGATTGACGAGTGAGGGCACCGCCTGTATTGTAGGTACTGCCTTCCCTGGGCTGGTGGTCCTGGATTCTATAATAAAGCGGGCTGAGCAAACCATGAGAAGCAAGCCCCTTCATGGCTTCGGTATCAGTTCCCGGAAGTGTCTGCCCTGTCTGAGTTCCTGTCCTGACTTCTTTCAATGACGGATGACAAAGTGGAAATATAAGCCAAACAAGCCCTTTCCTTCCCAACGTGCTTGTGGCCATGGTGTTTCATCACAGCAATAGTAGCCCACACTAAGACATCACGTTTGTGATGTTGTGTTGGGCTGCATTCATGGTTGTCCTGGGTGGGATGTGAAGCCCAGTAACACGAATTCCTGCCTTCTCTTGAAAAGAATCAGATAGGTAGATATGAAGTTTATATTACTTGATTTTATCTGTATTATCTATCTATCTATCAATCATCTATCTATCTATCTATCTATCTATCTATCTATCTATCTATCTATCATCTATTATTTATCTATCTATCTATCTATCTATCTATCAATCATTTATCTATCTGTCTGTCTGTCTATCTATCATCTATCTATCATTTATCTATCTATCTATCTATCTATCTATCTATCTATCTATCTATCTATCATCTGTCTGTCTGTCTGTCTGTCTATCTATCTATCATCTGTTCTGGAAATCAGTTGAGTATGGGCTGTGTGAATTGTTCCCTGTGTGAAATATGCATATGTACTTTATATTTTCCCCTGATTGAACTCAGTGTTTGAGGTGGGTTGGCTGAGCCCTAAGAGATTCCCCTTTAGTCTCTGTGTCCTGGGGGACTGCACATCCAGCTGGTGGTGCTAGAGTAAGCTGCTTTCCTCCCCTGCCAGTTCCCCGCTGATAAACAAAGCTTGAGAGCTGCCTCCCTCAGGCCAGGCCTGTGGGCAGACGTCCTCTAGCTTTGGAACTCTTTCTGCTCCCAGCCCTGGTAAAAGGAAATGCAGATTTTAGGCTGAATACTGATTTTAGAAGAGGAGAATTTTTTTAAAAGTATTTTTGTTGCTCCAGGGAAGAAAACTGCAATTGGACTTGAAAGCCTAAAGCCTTTTCATTTCCCGGGGAGAGGTTTGATAGCCTGCTAGCTCTCTCACTGTGCCCAGGGCACAATTCCTGCCAATCAAAGGCTCTACTGCTTCTACCCGGGGGCACAGTGACCCAAAAGAACGGTCAGCAAGAACTCTGCGCATCTCCTGGACTGGCGACTTAAAACATTTCAAATTGATAAAAATGAAGTTGGGAAACCACAAAAAGAGGCCAAGACCACAAAAAAGTGAGGCAAATTCCTTAGCAAATGTGGGCTCATTAATGTAAACTGATGTTGCAAATTGATACCCCATAGGTTAAATTTGGACACATTGCATTTGGTCCACATATTGTACTGAAAATTAACTTGCTCAAATTTCAATTCTATTTTGAATTTCTGATTTCTCTCTCTCTCTCTCTCTCTCTCTCTCTTTTTAAAAAGTTGTTCAGGTATCAAGGAAACGATTGTCTGGAAGCAGCCAGCTGTTGCCCCAGCCTTCACAGCCCTACCTCTCTCTATCATGTCCTATTAGAGCAGGGCCACGTTAGCTATTAAATCATCTGCCTGCATCCTGCAGGCTTTTAAGTTTGAGATCACTCATGTAAGATCAGTGACTTCTGCTAGGGAAGTGCTGGGTTCAGGGTCTGACTGATTCAGCAAGCTTGAGACAAGCCTAGTGAAAGGTTACAAGGTAACTACAAATGTGACCTGATGGTTTTCCATGGGGGAAAAAGGGGGAAAGTAAAGCCCCCCCCCCCATAGTGGTTGGGCTAGAAGACAGGGCAGGCGTGTGAAACCGGGAACTTGGCTAGGACAGGGGGTTTACCTCGGTAGCCCGTACAAATGGCGGTCTTTCAGTCGTACAGCTTGCTCTGTTCTAAGACAGCATCTATCCAACTAGGGGTGGGGGTGGCTCAAAGGACACCAAGGGCTCCAAGTATATTGGCACCAGCTGATTTTATCTTGGTCAGCATTAGCAGGAGGTGGGATGTCTGTCTTCTGCACCACTTCATATGGTGAGATCGTCTGACCTGGCCCTGCTGCTGGCTTTGCTCAGCCTGCTCAGGGGCCTGTTGTCATCGGTCGTCAGCTCCGGACAGAGCGCAGGGGCCTTCTCAGCAGACAGACCCTGCTTGGTTACCTTTTCAACTTGAAGTTCTTCTTTCTCCCCGTCCTTCCCTACTTCGGGGGTCTCTGCTTTCTCCCCATCTGGCACTGTGACCCTCTCCTGCCCTGCTGGGGTTGCCTTCTCTGCTTCTGCTTCCACGGCCTCCTCTACAGGCTGCTCTTCCCCCTCTACTTCCGGGGCCCCCACCTGAGCATAAGAAGGCAGGGTTTCTTGGTAACCCCGTGACATATCTGTCAGGGGTCCTGTGCCGATCTTCTCCTCAAACTGACCAAAAGTCTTAGCTGAAAGTGGGCTGGTCTCCACCATTCCAACCTCAGTCAAGGGGAAATAGTGGGACACGATCTTCTCTTCTTCCAGGAGCTGGTAGCCCTTGGCTTTCTGGATGGAGGAAACCGCAATGGAGTGGAGGGACTTCTCGGGGATCTCCCCCAGTGGCTGCTCTACGGGCCTCTTGAAGGCAGATCGGATTCTCTTCATGCCCAGGTGGCTCATCTCCATGATGTTGAGGAAGAGGGACACAAACGCGACGGACAGCATGAACAGGATGAAGATGGTTTTCTCAGTAGGCCGGGACACAAAGCAGTCCACCACATTGGGGCAGGGCCACCGGCTGCAGCGATAGAGGGGCAGAATGCGGAAACCATACAGGAAGTAGTGGCCCACGATGAAGCCCACCTCAAAGAGGGTCTTGAAGATGATGTGGCAGACATAGGTCCTTAGCAGTGTGCCCTCCAGCCGGAACTTCTTGGTGCCTTTGCTACTGTTGCTGCTCTTCCTGATGCTGGCCTGGTCCGGGGCGATTGGTACCCTCTCACCCCCGTTGCTACGGGATTGCTGACACAGCTCCTCAGCTTCGCGGTCCTTTCGCTTCTCCTCCATGCGGACGTGATGTACCGCGTGCCCCACGTACATCAGCGATGGAGTGGAGACGAAGATGATCTGCAGGACCCAGAGGCGGATGTGAGAGATGGGAAAAGCCTCGTCGTAGCAGACATTCTCGCAACCTGGCTGCTGGGTGTTGCATACGAAATCAGACTGCTCATCACCCCACACAAACTCTGCTGCCGTGCCAAGGATGAGGATGCGGAAGATGAAAAGGACCGTGAGCCAAACTCTGCCAATGACCGTGGAGTGCTCGTTCACCTCCTCCAAGATGTTCCCCAGAAAACTCCAGTCACCCATTGCTCACCACCTGGGAGAAAGAAGGCAAAACCTAAGTGGTCACAGTGCAACTCTGAGAAGACTTCTTCCCCAGCTCTTGGAGTGCCCATCTTTCTAAGCTGATGGCCCAGTCATACGGGTGAACAGTCTCCATGGAGTGCCTTGTTTGTGGACTAGTGCAAAGGGACGAAAGGGGCCATGAAGGGGATTTAATACTAACCTGTAAAATAGTGTTACTAATAATATCTGTTCTCATTCACCTCACAAATTACTTCAAAGAATCCTTGAATTAAGTATCTGTATTACTCCTTGAATTTATTGTGATTTACTATGGACCAGAAGTAGAAAACTGTGGTTACATGAATTTAAATCAAGACCACATGGTAATGGAAGATTCATGAATCGTAATACTAAAAACAAACCTATACAGTGGGTTCCTGGGCTCCTGACCACGTTGTTATGTGAATGAAATTATAAATAGCTACCTTCCTATGGTCTGTTTTGGAATATGTAATATTCCATATACTGTACGTGATCACATGTATAAAATGAAATGGGAGAGTATGAACATTTATCGAGCAATTTTAATGGCTAGACCTTCGATGTTGCGTTAATTCTTTCATCTTGCATTAATCCTGTTAGACTTTAAGCACTCGTGTGGTAGGGACGTGCCTGTTGTATTTACTGCTGCGTACCCAACGCCTGCACATAGCCCAGCACATAGGACTTTATATGAGTTTTTAAAAACCAATCTGCTTTCAACATATGAGACAACAGGGGCCTTAGAAGCTAAGCAGATGGACCAGACAGCAAAACACTAGCAGTTCCATACCTGATCCCAAAGGTTTGATTCTCAAACCGTTAAGAAATAAGACCTGCAATGTGGGCTACATGTTTCTCTGACATCTATAGTCCTAATTTATGCTTTCTTTACTTGAGGTTGAGAGCTGGAAACCCCTCTTAATAGTGTTACAAATTGAGGGCAGTATATTTTTATTATTACCCCTTTAAGTCCCAAGTGCAAAGAGGGTGCTTTCGGAGGGAGTTGCATTACCGACGTCCACGAGGACTGTTCAGTGTTTCACAGAACGAATAGGCTGCAGGGTTAGTTACAGGTGGCTGTTTAAATATAGAAGTTTGATCGTTAAACACAACGATATATAATGTCTCCAGCTTAGCAGGGGCTGACGGGGAGAGGACCGAATTGACCAGGAGGGTGTGTACAAATGGGGCCGCTCATTCAGGACTAAGGTAAAAGCAAAACAAATAAAACCTCTCGCATCACTTCAGGTCAGTTGTTCCTCTACGTTGAACATCTCTGAAGCTGTGGAACTCACTCATGCCTGCCCTAAGAACAAGACAATAGCTCCTTGGAGGAGCCTCCTCTGGGTTTCTTCTGGCCATCACCCAGAAATAAATGAGAAACATCACAGTTGGGTGATCCATCTAAACATCAAGCCCACACACGAGACAGATCCAGGGAGCTTGGTTTCTTGTTAGATAGTTCTATTTTCTCCTGTAAGACTTATTATTTCTGTGTGCTTAATCTCACTCCTCCCTTAGAATAGACCATTCTTTTGGCTTTATCTTCCGTGACCCGTCACAGCACAGAGCAAAGCACCTCAGAGTGTGGGGCTTCTCTAGATGCCAGAGGATTGGGACTGAGGGTGCTGGATTTAAGAGCCAAAAGTCTCAGCTCCCATAAAGACAATTCCCACCAAAATTCAGGAACCTCCAGTCTTCTTCGACATAGTAGTAATGAGAGCAAGAACTCATGATAAATAATAATCAAGGTCATAAAATTTAGAATAGACAAGAGTATTTCCAAGGAAATGCAAACACCAGGAAAAAAGAACAAAGTAAAATGATCCAAAGTACCTATCTTGAACCAAAACAAATCAGCCTTCCCATTAGCTGGGGCGGATGGTGCTTGTTTTATGAAACATTGGGATGTAATTGGGTAGACAGTGACCCTTAACACACTGTATCATGATACACGGCCCAAGACCTTCCTGACAATGATATCAGTAACTTCTAAAAGTCAGAGCAAAGCGTGTCCTTCATAACCCATCCTGCCATGTTAGGATTGTTCTGAATTTTTAAATTTTTTTCCTTACGCCTACTCAAGAGTTTTGTGTCAAGTTACAAGCAACTGTAACTTAGGACAAAATCTCCCTACTAGCATGGCGGTGAAGCAGGTCCCTTCTGCTGTTCAGGAAGTGTTTGGGGTATTACAATATGTTTTAGATTGTGTGTGTCTTTGTGAGTGTGTGTGTGTATGTGTCTGTGTCTGTGGTGTATGTGTGTGTCTCTGCGTATGCATGTATGTGTCTGTGTGTGTAGGACAGAAAGAACTTTTGGGAGTCAGTTCTTTTCTACCATGTGGGTTTCTGGGATCACACTGAAGTCATCAGGCTTGGCGGCAGGAGTCTTTACCTTTAACCCACTGAACTTTTGCTGCCTTTCTCCTCTTAAATTTAAGTAAATTATTTGAAAAAAGTATTTTTTATTTAATGTGTACAATGTTTTTTTCTGCGTGTGTGTCTATACCTCCCTGAGTGCCTGGTGTCTGCGAAGTCTGGAAGAGGCCATCAGACCTCCTGGGACTGGAACTACACATGATTGTGAGCACCCAAATGTGTGCTAGGAATTAAAGGCCGGTCCTCTGGAAGCGCAGCGAATGAAGTTAACCACGGAGCCATCTCTCTAGCCACCGCTCCCCCTTTAAACTGTGATGTGTTTGAATTGTTGTCTCTTTTTGTCCTCCATGAATAAAGATTGGACTAAACATGCCAGGCAGGCGCTGTATGACTGAGTTACACCCCCAGCCCTGGTCTTAACTTGCATGTACAGAGAACATTCAAAGCAGTAAAGCCGCAGTAGCATGCTGGGGCACAGAGAAAGTGGGGGCCACAACCACTCACTTTAGCCATTCTCTCTGTTATATTTTGTTGTGAAGATGGTGTGCGCCAACCTAGTACAGATGAAAATTAAACTGATGCTCTTTTTCAAGCCTCAACCCCAGGACCTCCGTTTATTCCTGGTGACTTCCCACTCAAGAACTGTGGGGGGAGGTGATAACTGAAGCCACAGTTTATGTCGGAGAGCTCGCCTCTGCCTAACAGTGATGCGCATTGATGTGTCCGTCAGTCCCCACGGCAAGTTATGAGTGAAGCAGTGGCTCTCATACTGAGATTTCAGGTTCCTAAACACAGCAAGCACAATAAAGGAGCATACAGCTGCCAAGTCCTTATTTTGAAAATAAGAAATGTTTTAGATCACTAAACAGTGTCTATAGCCTGATTCCACCCTCGCTTGATTGAAGGGGGCCTTTAAGACCCCAAAACTTAAAGAGGACACAATTTCAGAATAAAGGTCAACTCTTTAAATTAGACACATTTAACTTGACGAGACATTCACCTCTTTGTTCCCTTCGGTACAATTACAGTTTTGTCACGGGCTGTCAACATTTTGCCTTGATCTAAAATGGACAGATCTACATTTTGAGACCCAGAGAATAAAGAATATTGACACTACGATCAGGGAGGGGCAAGTGGAGAAGTTTATTGACTCTCCTGAAGTCGTCCATCTAGGGAGGACAGACTTCAGATGTGAGGCCTTGTCTTCCCTACTCTGAAACCCCAGGGATTTTCCAGGGCCGTGTGGCCTTTTCATGGGTTTGAAGGCACAGAAACGCATAAACATCCATGCTTACAAGGTTTTCAAAGCTCCAGAGGACATGCCCCACTCTGGCTGCGAGTGGGGAGTAAATGTGCCTCCATCTTTGTATGTAGGACCACTAGGCAGCGGCTCTCACCAACAGACAATAGAACCCACCCCTAGAAGAGTTTTAGGACCCTTAGCCAGATTCCTTCCTGTCCCCCATGAACAGCTTTAACATTGCGAACCCTGAGCAGGTGGCTTCCCCTCCACTCACAGCACTCAACGATTGGGACGTTCCCTCCCTTCTCAGAGTTGGTAGTGAAAAAAATCGGGGAAAAAAAAGATTGGTAACTGGAATGCTTATATTTATAGTCCTCTGGATTCCTGGAGGCGCTTGTTGTCTCTGAAAATGAAAAGAGCTTAAGAAGTCAAGAGTTGGAGTTCAAACATCATCTCAATTCACACCCACCACATCCCAGCACTCTCTCCCTTCCAAACCTCCACACACCCTCAGAAGAGCTTTCAGAGGGTTTTCAAGGTTGAGCTGGAAGTGCGGCCATCTCAGCCCAGTAATAGAACGTGGTGGCATCTTTCTTTGTCTTGGAGAAAGCTATGTATGACCCTGATCGCTGGGAAATAAGCCCAGAAGGGAAGGTTACAGTGTAGCCGCCCAAGGGAAACTTGCCGGTATGAGTTGGGTCCCACGGAGAAACAGGTGCTGTCTTTCTCTCTTGGTGCTCGGCAGGAAAATGGCAACTTTGATGTCTTTCCTTTGCCACCTAAAAGCCCACCTCCCCCTTCTCTACCCCGCCCCTAATATGCTGCACGACTGAGCAGATATGACTGGATCGGTCCTGATGGGTAGGTTTTACTGTCCAGCAATATTTTAAGCTCCCAGCCAGACGGCTTTTCTGAAGGGAGGGACCTTTGGGAAACAATGGGAGGGAGAGAATGGGACAGCTAGGCTGGGCACCCGGGGGAGGTGGTTGGGGGAAAGCTGACGTGGGAAAACTTAGCTGGGGCTTCTGCAGGCTCCAAACGTTTCTCTTAGCTACAGACTGGCCTTCTGTGAGGGGGAATCTTCGGCTTCTTGCAGAGGGCAGGTGTGTAGGGGTCCTTCTTCAGGTCCTGAAGCTATCTTCTTGGACACTCTTAGTAATGTAGGGAGAGTAACAAGTGCCCATTGTGCAGTCTTCTGCTTCTAGTCAGACTAAATGAGAGGGGGTGATTCCTTTCAAAGGATGGTATTTCATCCTCCATCGGGGCTTGGTCTTGTGACTCAACACCCTTAGTAGGCATCCTCCCTGATGGCTCTATTGCTAGAAACAGTGGGGTGCTGGGCACAGTTCTCAGTCCCAGCTGGGACGCATGTGCCCCCGGGGGAGCCAAGGAAAGCACCAAAAGCCCCCGAAGCAACACAGGCTCTTATCACTCCTCCTGCTGCCCACCAGAACGAGAGGCTAAAATCACACTGAGACACCACACACTCTGATTGTCGGGGAGAGAAAGCAGGAGGCACCAAACTAGAATTCCTGCCACGTTAGCTGGCAATCAAACCACAGTGAGCGCTGAGCAGTATGCTGTGGGAGAAAGGTCACCGCTGACCTTGCCCAGCTCTGAGCCCGGTGAAACAGACGTTCAACCTGCCGGGCAAAATAGGCCTGCTTCACCTGTGCAAAAGTGACTTGATGGTGCTGGGGGGGTACCCAGATGCCTTCTAGATGGAGTGTT